TACGATGTCGTACGTGCCGTTGTTTATGTGGAATTGGGACGGAGCCTCTTTCGACGCGTGCCGTCGAAATCAAGTTAAACAAAGTCGTCATTATTACCTCGATCTAATAGTTGAGACTCTCGTCAGCTACTCCTTTTGAATATGAAGATTCAGGAGATATTATGCTTTGTGATTTAGCGCTTACATGTTAGTAAGCCTAGTTGTAGATTTTCCAATAGTTTTTATCAAGTACTAAGGTATCTCGAACAAATTGCTGGCGTCACACCACCATCAGCGAAGATATAGACAGTAGTTTCGCTGAGGATACAGACAAACTAACAAAACTAATATCACTAGTTTTCTAAATGTAGACTAATCCTCATGTAACAAAAGAAACAAATAATACTTTCATTACATGTTATATTTTAAATTTCGATCAATCAGCAAACATTTTGCAGATGAAACTATTAACCCTTTCGTGAACGGGCACTTTTGACCTGGATATATTTTACTATAAAGGTCAAATAATTAGGCCGTCAAAGGGGGCATTTGCCCCTTTCATAAACTACGGTACTACAGCAAATCTTCTGCAAATCCTTGTAGTTCAAGTAGAAAGGGCGAATCCGCTCCGTCCACCACACAAAAAAAATGAAAGGGGGGATTTTGCCTCCTGTCGTGGGTGACACGAGTGGCACTCGATGATACACCCTCCAAAGGGGGCAAAATGCCCCCATTGACCAATATCGATGTAAGTTCCTCTGCATTACTGAAATATTTTGGTTGACAATAGCACACAAAGCTCGGGTTCAAATGACAAAAAGAAATATGCTTTTCTAGATTGTTTAATTGCAGACAGTGAGCTACCGGTGCCGCATCCCGGCTTAGCGTCCCGCCAGCAAGAGGCGGAAACTCAACGCGAAATGATGCGAGGGCAGAAGTGAGGGCAACAGCAACACTTGCACGCTCCAGTGAGTCGACTCCCTCCACTCCAGCAAGTTGTTCATAGCGGGAAGCGGTTGACCGCACAGCCGTATCGTGGGTTACGTGAGGTATATGGAGATCGGTTTCCAGATTACAAACCGATCATACTAAGCGATGAGCCGGCTCCAAACCGTCGTGCCGACGACGAGCGTTGGGAGCAAGCTTGCTGCGATGTCTTCAGTCTGATGATGAAGAATCTGGTGACGACACTCACCGTCAAACGGTTCTGGAACAAGTACTGGAGCAGCTTGACGAAGAAGACGAAGCGAGCGTCTCGAACAATACATCTGATCCTGACTACGAAGATGATGGTCGGTCTGCTGGCAGCACATGTTCAGTATGGCACTGAGTTCCTAGACTTTCGCGAGACCTTATGGCTACACTCAGGGTCAATTATTGGCGGACTCCTTGCTTTGCGTGAGTCGTACAAAACAGTCAGCATTGTAAACCCAAGATTCCACGACTTTGACCACCCAGACCAAAAGATGAGAACGGCAAAAGGATACAGGGCTGCGGTCCCCGGAATCAAGAAGGTAATCAGTGCGAGCAACTTAGATATTACTGGGGGGGGGGGGCATTCTTCGTGAACCTCGACACGACTACCTGCTACCTGTTTGACCACATGCAGCTGAAGAGCAACCTGTAGCAACTGAAGAGTGCAGTGGGTGCTATTGTCGAGCCCATGCTCGGAATCGAGGATAGACTTTCCTACGAAGTCGTTACTGGCCGTTTTCAGAAGGACAATTCGTCGTGTGGCGTATGGTGTCTTGTTGTGTTGGAGCTGCTGCTGTTTGGGGCTACTCCTCAAAGCTGGAGCGACTTCTGGAACAACTTCCTTTATGATGTGTTGGACTACTTGAGCATGCGCTATTTGTACAAAGTGGGAGCTCTAGAGCGTCAAATAAGCATCATGGCCGAAGGTGACGAGTAGGCAACTGGAATCTTTTATTTTATATATATTCATACTTTCGGTGATCAAACCAAAAATTTACCAAACACCACAAGGCAAAGAATTAGCACTTTTAGGAGGGCACTTTTAAATGATCGCCAAGTATTTTATTTAAAAATTGAAGTTCATAACGTACATATTGAACTACAGTGTTTTGCCCTCCTCTCTATGAATCCGCTGGACAACAACTGTTATTTTTAAACAATGCCATTGGTGGGCTCGCGTGGTACCTATAATGAAATATGTTACAGCAGACAGTTTCAAGTAAATTAAGGACGCCAAGTGCCGTATGTTATCAGGTCATCACACTGTACCCATTAATTCGATCCTATCATTTTGTGTCACGTTTGGTGGGGATATTTATCAGGAGAATGATACAACGAGCGATCAATTTATCAAAAGAAGATACAAAGAATCTGATTGGCCAGAATAAAATGGCGGGGTCTCTCTAAATTTGCACTAGTTAAAATTAATCCTGTTTGGGTACTCATTCTGAGGTATCCCAGTATAAACCTTTTGTTAGTACGAAGGTTGGTAGAAAGCTTCTATCACAAGCCAACGACTGCAGGCATAAGCTTTCGCCGGTTAGGATGAGTTCCTCAGAGGGTAAGGCGCACAAATTTGATTTGAAATCTCACTTTGGATATGCAGAACCTGAGCAGCGCATACCCTTTGTGTGTTTGGAGACGGCAGGTTCTTTTATCAAGCACTACGCCTTTAACATGAGTAAAAGTGTCGAGAGGAAAAAAGGAGGTGGCGGAGCTCACGTAAAATGACTGTGTTCTGAGCACAAAAGAGGTTGTAACTGGTTCATAACTTTGTCACGCAAACGTCGATCTAAAATTACTTAAAAAGCGACCATACAGCGGCGGAAAAAGCCTACAACTAAACTCTCACATATTCCAAGTGGATCATGGTATATCTCTAAAATGGAGCTGAGCCACTCACAACTTTGCCCTGGGATCGCTGTAATGACTACTGAGTTTCTGCTGGAGCATGCTGGTTTTCGTGGAGCTATTCTTCCTGGTCATAGCACTTCACTAGCGCGGGTAGTAAAGACAATGAGTGAAATTCACAGTATCGACATTTCCAAGCAACCTACAATGGCCTACCGTACCATTATACAAGCAAAAAATAAAAACCAAATTGACCCGGTAGCTGAGTACGGACGCCTTCCCAGTTTTCTACGCGAGTTTGCACGGAAAACCCTGGGTCACGGGTTTGCTGTCAGTTGGACTCAGAGGGGAGGTTTTATAGGGCCTTCTCATCTATTGGTAGTGCTGTGAATGTGCAAGACGCACTTTTACCTGTTTGGGAGTGCGATGGCACGAACATGAAGGATCTGTCGTACGATGGCATTTGTAAGGACGGGAACAAGCAAAATGTACCTATTGCCGTGGCCTACATTCACAAAGAGACCATCGACAACTTTGCCTGGTTTTTCGGAAACTGTATTGTCGCTGGTATAAAGATGAACATTCTGCTTGCGTTTGCGACAGAGGAAAACAGCTAGCAGCTCAAGTCTTGTTGCTTTGCATCAACATGAAAATACACTTGAAGTTCTGCACACTGCATATCAGGTTTAACACCATGGACAAGTTCAAGCCTCTGAAATTAAACTTGAAGTCTGTAAACGACGATATTTTTTCGCTTCAAGGCGCTTCAACAACCGAAGGGTATGAGCTCATCAAAGCTAAGATAGCATCCAAGTATCCTGCCGGAATTTCAAAGGTTGTCGCGGAGAAAGTCGTCGAGGAGCACGTTTGGAGCTACCTTTGCAGTATTCATCCCACAGATTGGAGTGTTGTCGGTAATATGAAGGCAACAGCAGAGGAAACAAAGTGGATAGAGGATAACTGGTCGTCTATCTCAAAGCACAGCGACGCTTTGCCTCTGTTTGGTATCCGCACTACGAGTGCTGTCCAAGGAGAGAACAACGGGCTACTATGGGGACGTGTGCGGACACAACTTGTGCTAGGTTCAGTCATGGCGTACTGTACACGAGCGCTCAAAGTTTTGCAAAAGCTTAAGGAGCTCGTCCAGGAGTGGAATAGTGCAAGTCGTGATATCACTACTCACGCTTTGAAGGAGTTCGGAAAGGAGAAAGAAATGGTAGCTCACCAGACAGTAGTGCAGGAAGACGAGTCCCTCTTTTTCGTTTTTGACGCCTTCGATAGCCGCGGTCTAGGTGGGGACGCACATCTCTGCGAAGTTAACATGGACTGTTGAACTTGCACCCGATGCACAGTTGCTGAGCAAATGCAAGTCCCTTGCCGTCACATGCAGGCAGCCGCTTTGTGGAGATCAAAGCAGAAAAACAGTGGACTTCCGGCCTATGATATCAAGCACTACTTCCATGAAGCTTACACTGTGTCGAAAATGGAAGATACCTTTGACTCCACTGCTATCGGTCTTCCTCTGTACGAGGAACTGGAGCAGACAAACGAAGTCAACCCCCCACCGTTACATCGCCAAGCTGGACAATCACGCAAGCGTTCGAAAAGAAGGCAGAGACTTTGCAACTGGTAAAAGAAGAACGCCAAACCGAGGTGAATGTGCTGGGTCATCTGCTCGAATAGTTCGTCAGTGTGTGCCTAGTGATATACACAGCGATGATGATAGCAAGGCAATTGCAGAGTTTTTCAACTCGCAAGTAAAGGGCGCGAGGAGAAGCAAACGGGAAACGTACACATGCAGCCGCTGTCAAGAAGCCGGTCATAACGTGAGGAACTGCACGACACCACTGATGGAGATAGAGAAAGCTGGGGTAAGAATCGCGCCAGGTATTTACATTGTTGGAGAATGTCTATTCACTACCTGTGGAAGAAGCGCAGAATATGAAAGAGAGACCAAAACCTACAAGTGATCAACGAAGTATACACATACTATGAAAATAATTGGTGCCGTCATTGTGAGAATATTATCTTCAATATCCTGAAGGAACGTATAACAACACGAAGTATTGTAAGAGACGGCAACCAGTGTGAACGGGTGTGAACGATTACCTTGAAAGGCCCTGCACACGCTGCAATATATCCGCCACCACCTCATATCCCACCAAGAGGTTAGAAGTTGTTAGCTAGAACGCAACGAGTCATTAGTAGCCGAGCACGTACCGAGTAAGTTCTAGTAAGAAAAGAGCCATCTCCAGCTCCCCCTTTCGATGGCTTTCTCCCTCGTCTTCGCAGCACCGGGCTTTATTACCACACCTCAGACTGTTACTAGCTCAGTAGTATCAAAAGCATCCTTGAGTAGTAGCTGGAGAATCTTTGAACGAATGGCCGTCGAGCAAGAACGAGCCGAGAACAACAACACCTTTCTCATATTGAAATTTTGTTATTAGAGCTCACTATTTAATCAAATAGCAATAAACCGTTATGAGTGGAGTGTGCATTTAGCAGCAACGCTGGGTAGTGAATGCCATGTCTGAGGTGCAATAAAGTTCTTCAATTCAAAGCTGTCAGTATCACATTGTAGAAATTTAATGCAGTATCGTGTACGAGAGATTAGTGTTGACAACATAGTGATGCAGATTTGACGCGTACCTCTGTATGTGAGCGGAGTAAGAGCACTATTGGCCAAACTTGACCCACTCGAGAAGTCGATCTACACCTCGAACCGCCCACGGAAATCTCTCCGTCTGTAACTGGTGCAGTGTACAAACTACCACGATGCACATGTTGTGTGCGTGGTGGTGAACAGCGCGCCTGACGTCGTTGGGGCCACGCGTCGACAATAGCTCTCTGTCTTCCTGTTCCTGTTCCACAAATATTGTTCTCAAAAATATTGAGTTTTTTTTATGAATGAATGAAGCGCATTTTATTCTGGCCAATCAGATTTTTTGTATCTTCTTCTGATAAATTGATCGCTCGTTGTATCATTCTCTTGATAAATATCCCTTTTGGTGGGAGCAACACGATCCCTGTATGATGCTGCATTCCCGACACCATGATAATAGCTCAACAAGCGAACCGAAGAGGTCAATGATTACAGAATTAATGGTCCTACTTGCTTACTGATTTATGATAACTCCGCATTGTTCTGTGTACAGACAACGACAGATAAATCCGGCACCACTGAATGCCATCCTCCATAGTAAATTTACGACAATTCCCCGTCGGTGTCACAAGATATTTAACACACTAAATGGACCATAAAATTTCACAAAATGACATAGTAAATACTCATAAGCATTTGGAATACAAAGACCAAGTCAAATAAACGTATTAGATTGGCTGAACAGTAACGATTGTGAATTGCACAACTACAGTATGTCTGCCGGACTTTTGTGTCGGCCGGATTTCTCCGTCGTTGTCAGTAGAACATTGCCTATTTCACCAGATGGTCACTAAAGCTATCCAGGAGAGTGGTGCATGAATTTTTAAACAGTAAAAATTAAGGCACTTGTTGCTGTTCCAACCTAGCGACATGTACAACATACAAACATCAAGATAAGCTGCTTACGCTACCAAAATCTCCAGGACGGATGTCATTTTCGGTCTTACGATTTGCTCCGTCAAGTCATGATTCAGAATGACAAGAGTTGTGCGCGAGTTCCACGCAGTATCATTTTCTTGCGCACGTCTGACAGTCCGCTCACCACGAAAGAAGTAGCGCGTGTTGTCAGAAGCTACACGAGCCGCAATGCGCCTCGTAGACTGCGTGAGCCTCCTGTTGGTGATAACAGCCCTCCTTCTAGCGAGCTGCGACGCTAGCTCCGCCACTATGGGTGCTGACCGAACGAGCACT